TCTGGACCTGACTGTATTATTACCACTGCTCTTTTCTGCTGGTAATAACCCTAACCCCAAGTAGCTTTTACTATAACGTGCACAATTTATGTTGCAATGTTTAACAATAAAAAGTCACTGGTTTATGAAGCTAAAGGCTCAAAGGATCTGCTATGTCATCAAGAAAAAAGACAGTTATTCCACCTATGCCACTCCAAATCACAATCAACAGAGAACCAGACAGTCTATAATACCTATAATAGATGCTGAAAGGTCTTTTAAAGACAGAAGACAACTCATTCAACAAACCATTTCTGAAATCCTAACAACAAAGTAAGGTGCAGTTATAGCTGTCAACAGTCAATTCACAAGATTTATTTTTACCAATGTCCTGCTCAATGCATCGTTTGTCATCGCAGCTTGATATGTGTTGGCTGATCTCTTCCCTGGGGACTTGATGACGAGCATTAAATGGGCAAGTGACCAGCTGTTGCACTATCTCAGGGTGATTCTAGGAAGACAAGTACAGATAACAAAGTCACAGTTGTCTCACTGACACACCACCAGGATGCTGTTTTAACATTTAACAAATTTTTAACAAACAGTGAAATATAGCTATGAGACAAAATAAGTAGCGACTTTATTTCTTCATGAAACATCCATTTGGCACAAATAAGAAGTGGTTTGCCATCATCTTCTTCAGGGAATTTTTTTTTTAAATTTCCCCGTTTGGCTTACAGCCCAACTACTAACCACATCCAATCTTGCTTTGTTTTTCAAGATCAGCCAAAGGTAGCTAAGTGCCATTACTTAGTTGGGCGGTATAAAACAAGCGCAGTTATATTCTCTTAAAATAACTCTATAGAGGGATAGGACACAGGAAAAAAATTATCCCAGAAATCTCTTCCTGTTGGATTCTCCATACTGCCACCACCACCAGCTCAACAAGCAAAAATCCCTACATAGTGGTCACATTCAAAAAATTTATCTGGTCATCCAAATCATGATTTGAAACTGGGATTTCCCCTTCATGCTTGGCATACTAGTTTCCATCATTCTCCTTATCTTTCTCCCTCTCTTTGATCTATTAGGTGGGTTTTGATTAGCAAGACATATTACTCCTATGTATTCTTGATTTTGGGGGCTTTCCCCATACCTTAGGCAGTCTATTATTTTCCAAAGCCTTTTCATTATTCTCCAGAGCTGCCAATGCACCTCTATAAACTGCTTCTTGGACATGACTAAATCTTAATCAGTGCATTAATACAATAAATCTACCTATTTATAAGGTTAAAGATGTGGCTTTGTAATTTATGAAGAGAAATTAGTTTGACAACATTTCATTTGGGGCTGTTATTTGCACTTCTTTCTGAGTAGGCATGCACAGGCTAGGTATTTCAGCACTGATAGGTACTGGGGATATCTGTAATGCTGATTTCACTTTTGAGCAGATTTACATAGGAAAAGCTTGTAGCTGCATGATGGTGACATACTGATAGTGCTTTTCTTGAAGTGAGGTAACTTGAATTTCTATCATTTCATTTTGAGGGCCATATTTTAAAAGAGAATTAGACAACTGATTTATTTTGCAGGGAGGTGAAAGGCCAGCCAGTTTGCTTCATTACCAATGAATCAGTTGCTCTGATGAAGTAAACATTGAAAGAGATTATAATGCCAAGTCTCAGTTACATGAAGAAATTGAAGGCCAGGGGCTCCTGGGAAAGGAATAGTGTCTAAAAAGAAGTTGAATTCAGTTTGAAATGTTTTATCAAATTCAAAATGTTCAGAAGCTAATACAATTTGTATTAGTTTAAGAAAGCAAATTTACTGGAAGAAGACAGAGTTTGCAATTAAGGGACCAGTTTGTAAAGTGTGGTTAAAAATGCATTTTCCCTGGCAATAGGAATAGAGATTAAACATGTTAGGTTCTGAGGATACTGTCACAATTCAAGGACTGGCTGAGGACAAACTACTTCAGAGTCAGTCTTCTACTGCTAAGGCTGGTGATGAGACAATTGACAAACTATTCTGCTCAACTGACTACTGCTTGTATGGAACTTAATCTCTGGAGATTATCAAAGAATGTATGAGTCTGAGTTTTCCAAATGTAACTCTTGCTTGCAATGCAAACCTTTATCATATAAAAACTCACTTGTCTCAGTGCTGCTGATGGGTCATTGATCTTGTTGGTACTAAGAAAGGATTTGTGGCTCATTTTTAGGAACCTTCAGTTTAAGAAAATTATGAAAAGATCTCAAAGAAGAACATGAAGATTTGGCTCATTATTGAGGAGTATGCTGGCTAAGCTAAGACAATATGCTGAAGTGTTTAGATTCACTGAAAAAGATACAAGTTTGGCAGTTTCTCCCAGCTGGAAGAAAGCCAGAAAGGGAATTCACTATTTTTAAAGTTTAAGCGAACGTTTCTTCTCTAGCTTTTTACAGGTAGATAAAATCATTGATTGTAAGGTTTCCACATTACATCAACCTAACAATAAATGGATAGCTTATGCCATACTGTATTTGGGGGGGGGGGGCGGGGGAATAAGGAACTCCCAAATACATTCTCAGATAAAGCAGATTGTGCCTCGGCTGTGTGAGCTGATGCATGATTGCTTATTTAGGAGCTATGAAGTATACTGGAATAACATCTGAATAATATTATAAACTATCTTTAATATAAAATATTATATGTATTTATTACTGTTTTTATTATATTTTAATTGG